AAAATTAGTTTATTTTACTGTGTTGCTGATAATATTATTGTGTTGATCAGTCAAAACCATAATACTATGTAAAAAGTATATTTCTATAAGGCTAACTTGATGTTAATTTTTACGGCATTGTCGGTGAAGTTGCTAAAGGGGTGTCCTGTCAGCGAGGATTGCCGTTTATAAAGTTTGCAGGGTGGACATTGTGAATTAGCCCACATATTATTTGCTTTGGACTATGCACATTCTGATGACGTCGATATTATTTCAGCATCCATCAGCCTAACATTTGCAACTTACTCGGCAAGCAACGATGTTGCAATTGGTGGATTTCATGCATCAATAAGCGGCATAATAGTTGTACAAGCCGCCGTGAACATTGGTATAAGATCATCTACTGTTAGTATCGCCTCGTGGTTTTTCTCAGTTGCTGCTAGCAGTACCGACCGGAGAATCATCACAAAAGTCACTTTAAGGCGATGGAACGACATGTATAAGCATATTATATATCATTTTGCAAAGTCTTAATTTTTAATTGTTATTGTAGTATTTTAATTAATTGATGATACATGTAATAGGGAAAGTCGGTCGACTCCTTCAACTTACGGAGAGCAAATTCGATGTAGCAAAAAAACTGCAAAGTAACTACTCGACATCCTTCCTTACATAACTTGGTTAAGAAAAAGACTTATATATATATATATAATGTAAGACAATACTAACTTGCTTTGTTTGAATTTCAGATCATGTGATGATGGTTGTTTGGAGCCTAGTTTAGTGAAAGGGAAACTTGTGATGTCCAACTACTACAGTCGCATACACGAAGTTTTTAGAACTGAAGTTCTTGGAGTAATTTTGCATTTGGTCCCGACCCTCGTGTCGTGTTATTCCTGTAGCGGCGTCGAGTTTCAGTGAGAGAGATTTCGACACAATTCAGCGTTATTTTAGTTTGGAAAAGTACCATCCTACCATAACACTCCTTGATAATTTTTCTAATTTAAACTAATTTGAAATATTTTTACTCAAGTCAACCCTGATGTCTGATGGTCTACACACAGTCCGTTTGTCTATTCCAATAATTCGATAAACGGACCTAGTTACTGTTGGGGTCGTTCAATTGGGTTCAACTAGGTTGGTTGTTTGTTTATCCTTTTTTTCCTTATTAAAAAAGAAGTTAGATAAATTAAGAGCTGACAAAAATAGGATAATTCAATAACTTTATCCCGACCAAACACATGTGCAAATCATGTGCATATTACGTGATCGGTCGACCGTAAATTATTTTATTGAATTGTATAAAAGTAAGAAACGCTAGGGCAAAATAAGAAACTCTAATGACATATTTATAACTTTTTTTAATATTTAATTACTAATATTTTTTCTCCTATTTTCCAACTTTTTTTCTCCAATGACATTCATAGCAAATCAGGTTTGCAAATCTGCTAGCAAAATAATCCGTTCGAATAGTATATTTTTTTTACTCTCTCTCTCTCAGATGTGGGTGGATTTATTTAATACAATTTAATTATTATATATTTAAGTTTTCTTCCTTTTTGCAATCTCGTGCATTACACGGGGAGAATGGCTAGTATTATATAATAAGCTCAAAAACATTTACTTTTCTATAACTCAATATAATATTATCCCCATTATTCAATAACTCAATATTATCCATCTTTAGTCATTTTTCATGGTTGGCTGCTTTCCAACTCACCAAACATTAGTTATTATTGCATATGTACACCTTCAATACGTGTAGTATTACTAAACACGTTTACAAAACGAGGTTTTATTGAACTTGAGAAATCAAATTGATAGCAAACTGAATCATGTTATGCATTCAATGTGACCAAATAATAGGCACAATTGATTTATTGATGAAACCAATTTTTGAAGGCAATCTCCAACATTAAATATTGTCAATATATCTTTTCGTGAATTTTTGAAGTATAATTCAAGTAATATATTTAATGATAATACAATTAAATATTTATAAATTAATATAGTCGGAATTAACAAAATTATATTAATTTAACGAAATAGTAAATTATCGAATTAATCATTTAATAAGTTTTTTATTGAGTAGAGACCAGAAGAGATTATTATGTAAGCGGTGTTATTAATTTATCGAGTTCTACCGTACATACAATTATTTTATAATATGTATATATTCCAAATTTGAAATTTTATACTTGCAAGTTGTAAGTTAATTAAATAACCCAACCACCAAAACTATTGGTCTATACCATAGAGTACAAATTAATTAATTAACAAATACAAAATAGTATCTAGAAATGAAATGAAATGATTGAGCTACTTTTTATCACTAGTCCCATGTCAAGGGGCCCCCCAGGATGTGGGCTCATTCCACCATAGCCTAAAAGATATGTGTGCCATGTGAAGGGTAGAAAGTTCAAGTATAGTATAATTTTCAATTTTTAACAATTAATGATGAAGGGTATAATAGTCATTTGGGGAGTTTTTCAAGTTTGGGTTCGAGATCAACTCTGCTTGAAATAAACGACGCCATGACCAGTACTCGTTGTAGTTTTTGTGGCGACTAAAGTTGGATATTAACGATCTGGCGTCATTTAGATGTTCAAAATCACTTTTTGACGTTTTAGAAAAAAGTTGAAACTTTAATATCAATTTTTTTTTTGACAACAAATACCAATTCGTCGAAAACTAAGGTTCAAGGATAGGCGATATTCCACTAATTCCTCCCTATGTAAATTTGGATATGGTCCAATTATATATTTTTAGAACATCAAAGGATGAAAAATAATGAAAATTTAGTGTTATATGAAATATTAGACATATTAGACAACAATCATGTGAACCTTATTATATACTCATTAATCATTATGGACCTACAAGAAAAGATGTGACTGGTTTATATGCTACACCGAATATTTTTTTACCATTGATTTACATATAAACACATACATCTATATTGGTCTATGTAGATCAATAAAATACAGACAATATACAACCGAGTGTACCATAAAAATAATCAGACGCTTATCTAATGTCTTCTATTTTCTTAAAATAAACTACTTAATCAAGAAAAAAACTACCATAGCTCAATATATCTGATCAAAACAATACCTGAAATCAAATTTCTCAGGAGGTAGCCTAGTTCGTCGACAAAAAAACCCGAATCAAATGGTTCGGGTTCAAATTTTCTTGTCTCGTAGCTTATTATCTTGTGTGATTTATATGTCTCATGATTTCTTATATGGTTGGATGTGTATTCTTTCGTTGCCGAAAATCAAAATAAGTCAAATCAAAGACTAATTAATGAACCATAAAAATTACTATATATATTTTCCTTTTTGTTTTGTTTTGGATTTTAGAATTGTCTAGAACAAAAGTACAACAGTAAGATTCCCCAGCAATTGGACACAAACATGAGAGGTCACATGGTGTGGTACAAAATCAGTGCTCTCTACATTTGCATTAAATGATTCAAACTAAATTAATAGTAAAAATGAATGGATGAGACTTTATAATATCATAATAATTCGAAATATAATTATTAATATATTTGTTTTTTATTATTATTATTATTGGATTATGAATCAATGAATGAATGATAGGTAATGACTACCAATTGACCCTTTTAGCCACTAATTAAAGTTACTATTTTCAGTTCGGATTAAACAACAATGTCAATGATAATTTTAAGAGGGCACCAACCCACCTTTGAAATGACAATCAACCAGAAAATCTTCCTTTTTAAATTGTACTATTATATTCCTTTGATCATAAGTTATATTTTTAGGTGCAAATTATATTTTAATTATAATTAATTATTCACTTTTCAAAAAAAAAATGTTATTTTTCTGAAATTTCTAATTTTAACCTCAATAGTTCTACAAGAGCTATTAGGGGAAACCATAAAAATAAAAGAAATAAATGGTTAAAGGAGAAATATAGTGAATCGGGATAAACACTTAAAAAAAGGTGTTTTATGTGAAGCAAAATATCGTCGAAATACAATAACTTTATGTGACGAATATTTTTGTTGGGCGAAAGGTGTTAGGCGGCGATTTTCAAATTCGTCACTTAGGATTGTGACGCGCGAAAGTGTATTTCGTGCCAATGATTCATTCTATCACGACGAAATAATTGTTAAATACATGAAGGCATATATTTCGTCATACTCATTTTGCTACAAAATATTTTTCTAAAAAAATGTTATGTCATACTTATACTATATTCGTAATACGATCAAACAACTCAAATATCACAATTAACATCTTTTTGTATGATAACTTGACAATTTAGCACGCAACTGTCTTATTTTACTCGAAAAATGTAGTGCAATTACCCTACGTTAAGTAGTATTATGAAATTATCACAATTAAAATTGAGGGTAAAATCGGTACTCTTTAAGAAATATTTCATTAATAAAAAAGATTTTGTGAAAATTGGCACTATAAAGGACCGTATAAGACAACGACAAATTTCGAGGTAATCTGGTAAATATGAATAACACGGATTTTTTTTTTCTCATAATCAACAATTTTTGTAACTTTGTAAATAGGAAACTAGTCCCGCAAGAGATGGTCTAGCGGTTGGAGCAAGTGAGTATGTGTCAATTGACCCATGTTCGATTCCACTTGCCAACGGTCGCTAGGTGGAGCTTGTCACACAGTTAGCATATTATACGAGAGTGTACGTTTTGTCCAGTGAAACTTTTTGGAATCCAAAATGAAAAATATTGTTTCAAACTCAAAAATTATATACCATAAACCACGATATCCAAATTTTCGGTGTTAGTTATAATGTTTTGTCATTTGTTGCAAATAAAAAAAAAAAAAAAAGTTTATTTTGCATGCAAGAAATGTATGGTCTAACTAATCCATCCCAACCCGACCCGACCCATTGGATCACAAACCGTTAACAAGACAAAAAAGCTCAACTCACTAAAAGGAAAATTAAAATAATATATACACCATACGCTAGTACAATTATATACTACATTTATTCATGGTATATGACAAAAGATTATAATAATAATTATTATTATTTAATAAAAAAAAGGTAGAAAAAAATTCTACAGCTTCTTCAACCTGTAGATTTATACTATGATTATTAATTAACCAGCCCACAGACAGGGCCACATGTAGACCACCACAACAAACACCACCATGTTGTTTAATTTCAAGAAAATTAAAGCCTGAAATGACAGTTTTACCCCTCCAAAATTACAATATTCACATTAGAGAACATGCATTTGGATTCTCATCACTAAACATCTGTGGTGGATATGCATAGTTATTATACTCTTGCACAACTCTCTGTGGATAATTATTCACTTGCTGCTGCTGGTGGTGGTCGTAGTAGTAGCTACTATTATTGTGTGGGTAGTAGTAGTTGAATTCATTCTTTCTCAACTCCAATTTCGAGTCCTCTGCGGCCGCCTCATCCGCCGCCTCTCCGCTGCCTGATTCCTTGGCGGCTGCGGCGGCTTCCCCGTCGGGCTTCTTGGTTTCGGCCTTTTCGGGTTCTGCGGGTTTCTTCTCGGCTTCTTTCCCTTCTTTGGGTTTTTCGGCCGCGGCCGCGGCGTCTTCTTTTTTCTCCTCGGGCTCGACCTTGACAATCACGGCGTGTTTGCCGGTTCTCTTGTGGATGTAATCGGCGAGTTTTTCGGGTTCGAATACGCCCTTCACCGCCACCTGTGAGCTCTTGAGATCTGGCTCTGCACTTTCAACACCTATACATATATATACATATGCTAATTATGGTAGAGAAAAATAGAATTGATTGGAACTAATTAATTAATTAAAAAAGGGTGGTGGGATTGACCTAATTAGTTTGAATCATGAATTCAAAACAGAATCTTGATGGTACATATTGAATATTTGCTATTATTAATAATTAATAATAAAAAAAATGGAATAATTAATTGAAACATCCTTTGCCATTTTAGAGATGGTATGCAAAAAGAGATTTAAAGAGGAGAAAGAAAGCAATCATCTCTGCAAATACAGCTGAAAAGTGTAAACAAAAGCAAAAGACAAAGCAACCACCAAAATAGCAAATAAATTAAAATTAAAATTTAAAATAAAGAAAAAAAAAAAACCTTTCATTCTGAGAATTCGTTTCTTGATTTCTTGAGCACAAGCTTCACAATGCATGTACACTCCCAACACCACAGTAATCACAGGTGGCTGCATCAGAATTAAATTAAATTAAATTATTATTAAACATTTAATTAGTACTATATATATTTCTCAATTAGAAGAAATTATAAAAAAAAAAAAAAAAGAGACCTCTTCTTTCTTCTCTTCAGGTTTGGGCGGCGGCGCGTCTTCTTTCTTGTCCTCCGGCGGCGGCGGAGGTTTGGGGATGGGGGAGATAAGCTGGACCTGGCGGTGGCTCTTACGCTGAACCCGGTCCAAAACTTTGAGTGGATCTGCTTTTTCACCTTTCACAACCACTTTACTTGTCCTGCAATCCGTTATTACATCCTCCACACCTGATTTTTTTAAATAAATCTTACATGCAATTATTGTAATAAATAATTAATTAATTATTTCAATTAATTAATTAATTAATTTTACTACCTTCGAAGCCTTTGAGGCACCGCCGGACTTTTCTAGCGCACCCCTCACAATGCATGAACACCTTCAGGACGATTTCCTGCGGCGGCGGTGGCGGTGGCGGTGGCGTTTCCGCCGCCTTGGATTCGTCGGGTTTCTTCTTCTCCGCCTCCGTCTCCTTCTTCACATCTTGCGGCGGCGGCGGCGGCTTATCGGCCGACGGGGCGGACTCTTCTTTCTTGGCTGATTCCTCCGGTTTCTTCTCCTCCGGCTTCTTTTCTTCCTGCCTCGAAACAAACAAAAACGCAGATGAGCTAAAAGAGAACAAGAAAAATAAAATAAAAATGGCGGAATATTAGAGAGAGAGAAAATAGTAAAAAAAACCTCTCCCATGAGTGTTTTCTCTCTCTATCTCTCTCTCTTGCTTGTTGAATTCTCTGTGGTGGTGGTGGTGGGGGAAAATGGATTATGGGGGTTATAGATAAAATAGAGGTTTGGGGCACACAGATATACCTTCACTGTGTGTGTGTGTTTTTTTTTCTTGGGGTTAAACTCCGAAGTGAATACGCAGTTAATAGAAAATAGCTTTTGAGGGGTGGGGGGTGGGGTGGGGTGGGGGTGGGGTGGTGGTGTGGGGTACGGTAGGGGGTAGTGTTAGATCTACAGGTAGACAGTAAATATATCGTCATCATGATAAGTGACGTGGATGCTGTGTCAATAGGCTGCCACGTGCAATCGCTATGGCTAATCGTTAGGTGAATTTAATTATGGATTTCCCATTTCTTTATTTATTTGTTTATTTTGATTTTCGGTTCTGATCATAGGAATATATTTTCGAACAATATTGTCAACACAAATTTCAAAAATAAATAAATAAATTCAATGTTATTTCAAGTTGGAATTTTTATTGATTTTCTCCAAATTTGTTTTTTTTTTTCTTTTTTTTTTTTCCTAATCGTTATTTCAAGGGATTTGCGATTTCAAGACTTGAGACTGCAACTTCAGCATAAACACACTACGTAATTAAATGACGAACGTCTTAAATTATGATGACGTGAGAAAGTTTATTTGGTCCCTCATAATACGGATTTACGTTACAAACATCGATTTGACTTGATATCTATCTGGAGGACTTTCAAGCCAAATAAATCATAATCTTTAAGATTTGCATTTTAACTGGACTTTATTTGATTATATGTATATTAATTATTTATGTAAGAGAAGAATAATTACTGGTTCTTCAATTCCCCTTTTGATGTTACGAAGCTATGACCAAATAGGTTTTAGTGCAAGGTGCTTATCAACGAGTTTGGAATCACAAACTGTAACGGTTTGTTTGGATCTTCACTTTTTCACTGTGAATATGAAGCCGCGCAGTCAGTAACCCCAATGGAGAGAAACATTCTCATTCCCAATATTTTTAAGTGTTGCGCCAAACGAGAAAGCTAAAAAGGCTATTATTTTCATCATCGATATCTAAGTTAATCGGGTGTAGATAATAATAACGTACAAGAAAACGCACACAATTATTAATATTAATATACTGTTTTCCTCGTTCTCTAATCATACATTAAAAAAAGAAGAAGAAAAGAATAAAATAATTTGTGATTTTACAAAAGAAAGTGTACAATTGCATCATTTTCATACATCATTAATCATATCATTTATATTTTATCACTATATATATGTTACATATTTTATTATGTACAACTATTTATCAATCTAACTTTTTTACAGTTTTGCAAAACAAAACTCCTTTATTTAACGTTTTCTATTTTAAATGTACCATTAGTCTTTATATTTAGTAAAAGTTCATTTTGATATTCAAGATCAATATAGTGTGAGAATACTATAAATACTTAATACTAAATAGTTCATAACTTCTTAATAAATGTCAATATTGTGGGAAAATAATAAACTTCTACAAATAGAAAATATTTTTTTACGCGCATTGGCATGTATACATATAAATGTGCCTAAAATGCGCATTAGATATGTAAATTATGTTGTTGATTATTAACTGATTAAGATCTCATTTGTTTACTTATACCGGACTAGATTAGATTAGACTAATTTCCTACTAATTAAATAAGATTGATGTTATTTCCACCTCCAAAATATTTCAATTCACCACCAAAGTATATAAAATGGCATAAATATTCCTCAAAATTGTAATTCGCCACCCTTCTTTATATTCGCTTAATCCTCATGTGTTCTAAGTTATTTCTATATCTATTTTATTTTTTTATTTTTTTTTTGCACTGAAAAAATTATTACAAGAAATTTAAACTTTCATATCAGATGACTTACAGATTATATAATATTTTTTTTAGAAAAAACGAAATTATATTAAGCTAAATTGGCCAATTTTGGAGGAAGTTCAGAACCTTCCATACAAGCCCTCTTAATTTATTTTTCCAAGAACGTGAATTCATGCTCTTTTTGACATTCGAAAATGTTTTTCTCTTGACGAAAATATTACTCACTTAAGGTTGAGATGGTGAGATTTTGCTGTAAAGATTCCAGCGAAAATGATTGAATTTTTTTATAAATATTTTAATTAATTTAGTGGTCGACGGTTTAAAAATTTGTAAAAATATATAGGTGAAAGAAGAAGAAATGGGCAAAATAAGAAATATATTTAATTTGATTGTGAAATAAGATATTTTGAGGGTGGAAATAACACGTCTCTTAATTAATTGTTTAATTAATAACATGTTTGATTCTTTAGTATAAAGTCTCTTGTCACTTGTGTAACAAAACTAAGTTATTGTTTGAAGGATAAAATTATAATTTTCATTTTTAATCACCCTATAAAAGGAATGAATATTAATGACTTTGTGAAGTAGTAGCATTTAATTGCTAGCTTCCATTTTTGTGTACGTAAAATTGGAAAACATATCATATCTTTTCTAGGTTGTTCAAAGTGGTAAGACATTAAGCAATGTTTGAATTTATTTCACGATTATATTTCCATGGTTCTTTAGAGTTTAGAGAGTTCTGTAGAATCTATACCTGGTGAAATTATGTAGTTTTAATACATAATAACACATACATTCATATATATACATGTGTTTACTAGATAGTTGTTTATGTTTACCTACGATTCACAACCATATAGTGTATCTCATCATGTGTAGGATCTCATAGGCCAATTTAGAGTAACACACCCGAGTATAAAATGAATTCATATAATCTTTAGAATATTTAGAATATATTTAATTTTTAAATCTTATGATTAATGATGATTTAAACTATTTTTTTGTTCCATTTGAGTATTAATTCGTTAACGTTATTTGATTTGATACACTTGATGTGGTGGGCCTAGGAATCTTTTTGGGCTCAATGCTTTTTTATTTTAGAAAAAGAAAATATGATGGAAATGACAAAATACGAAAAAAAATGAAGATGAAACCAAATAGGACCATAAATTTTAGCACGGCCAAAACAATAAAAATGGAATGTGATATTGACGCATCTCTTCAACCCATGTGGTGATGAAATTACGTATTAGATTGTTATATGGTAGAGTATATATGTAATATTAATTTTAAAGAAAAAAAATAACTTTATTATAACTTTTAGTCTAATTGATTAAAAGAGAAAACTCCTCGTACCGTTAATATAAGCAAAAACTTATCCTCAAGTCAGGAAGCCAGGAACCAGTAGGGGTGTGAACGAGCCGAGCTCGCCTCTTTTGGCAGGCTCGACCTCGACCTCGAGTTTATTTTGTCGAGCTCGAGCTCATTTTGTTATATTTTTTTTAATATATATATATATATATATATATATATATATATATATGTATATATATATAATATTATATATTATTATTATACATTTTTTAAATAAAAAATGTATAAAAAAATAATAAAAAAAAGAAAAATTAATAAATAAGGCTCGCGAGCCGGTTCGTGAGCTCACGAACAACTAAAAATTGGCTCGAGCTCGACTCGTCAGAAAGCTCGAGCTTGAAAAACTTGAATCTGAGTTAGAGCTTTTTTCGAGCCGGCTCATCAAACTCACGAGTCGGCTCGACTCGTTTACCACCCTAGGAACTAGTGATATGAAGGATTTAATATTTTTTTAGCAAACTAACATTTAGGAGGTTGTGCGCTAAATAAAATGTATCACACGGAGTTATTGTTAATATAAATAACATGAATTTATTCTAACAATTCGATATAATACACCGATATAGGGGCGTGAACGTGCCAAGCTCGACTGTTTTGGCCGGCTTGAGTTCGAGCTCTATGAGTACATTTTTTGGCTCGACGTCGAGCTCGAGTTCGAGCTCGAACCCAAGTTTTTTTTTTAAATATTAATTTTTATTATTTAGAGTTATTTATATTATAATAAAAAAATTATAAAATAGATAATGAACTGTATTTATAAATTTTTAAATTTTTTTTTCATATTATTATTATTATATATTATTTAAATAAAAAATAATATATAAAAAAAACTTAAAAAGAAGGCTTGCGAGCCGGCTCGTGAACTCACGAACAACTAAGAAAACGCTTGAACTCGACTAGTGGAAAAGCCGAAACTCAAAAAACTTGAGTTCGAGTTTGAGCTCGAGCACTTATCGAATCGGTTCATCGAGCTCACGATCCAACTCAGCTCGTTTACTACCCTATACTGATACTAAATGCAATAAATTCCAATTAAACTACTAGTATTTGGACATAAGTTGCATCTCATATAAATGAGACTAACCATATCCGTACACAAGGTGTGGGTGGTCCATCATATATAATTTCTGCAGATAAAGAAAACAAAAAATCTAGGCGAAAATTAAATTCAATAATTGATGATGAGTTCTTGAGCATATTAATTATTATTATTATTTTTTTCTTAAATAAAGGACCACCACTACCACTGCCTACAGCCAATGGGCTTGCGACAGGTGGGCCCTTGAAATAATTGCATTAGTAGTTACATATTTTGGAGGAAATTAAAAGTCATTTAATATCTTTGTTTGCTTCAGTGCTTCTTATTTTATTTTTCCTTTTTTTATTTTTTATTTTTTATTTTTTGAAATCGTATTTTTCCCTTTTTGGTGCACGTAAATATATTAATCTGTATGAAAGGACTTTTGCATATTTTCCAATTAATTGGGTGGGGGGGCGGACACAGCATTTATGTGCAACTGATAAATATCAAAATATTGGTAATAATTATATGTACTTACAATTATTATTATGCATTCCTAGTTCTGAACTTAATTATTCAAAAATTGATGACACATTTGTAAGTGATAGTTAAGTAAGGAAAATGTATAAAGAAATATTACAACGTAATAGACTATTCTAAATAATTGGATTCTAACTAATCTAGGCAGTATAATCACCCTAATCTATGTACCATAATATAATCTAATTTTACAAAATTTCTATAATATAATATACTCTAACAACTTTCTTACGTTCAAGTTAAAGAGCACTTTCGAACAAATGACAACGTTACACAATTTGAAAATTGCGGTCCATTAACTAAAGTCTTGTTCGAAAGCTTGATTAATAACTACTTTTTCAAACAAGAACTTAGTAA